GGTCTCATGAGGGGCAGCTCTCAGGGTCCCCAGGTGCTCCTGGGGACCAGCCTGGGCTCCCCAGCCTCACTCTACCCCTTGGCAGGACGCAGAGGTGGTGCGCACCCGGGACCCCCAGCGCCTGGCCCAGTGCGACGTGGTGGTGGACGTAGGGGGTGAGTACGACCCCGAGCGACACCGCTACGACCATCACCAGAGGTGAGGCCTCCTCACGCCAGATGCCAGGGTCCCCTGGATGTCGGGGGTCCCTCAGAGCTGACCCCGCGGCCCCGCAGGTCCTTCACACAGTCCATGCGGAGCCTCCGGCCTGACAAGCCGTGGACCACAAAGCTGAGCAGCGCTGGGTTGGTCTACTGCCACTTCGGCTCCCAAATCCTCGCAGCGCTCCTGGGGCAGCCGGAGGATGGCCCTGTCGTGACAGCGCTCTACGATAAGGTACTGGGGGAACTGGGAGGGTCTGTGGGGGGCTTTAACTCCTCCAGTGCCGCACAGCTTTCCCCAGGGTTTCTCCTTGGTGGGGGTCACCCCATAAAAGAGCACTCTGGGGAGAGGGACCCCATAAAAGAGGGGACCAGTTTGTTCCAGCTACTGGTGCACTCCCTGCCGGGCTGAACCCGCCACGTTCCCCACTCTGTCCCCAGCTGTATGAGAACTTTGTGGAGGAGATCGATGCCATCGACAACGGCATCGCGCAGGCAGAGGGGGAGCCCCGCTACGCCCTCACCACCACCCTCAGTGCCCGTGTGGGCCACCTGAACCCGCGCTGGAACGACCCCGACCAGGACACCGAGGTGGGGATGGGGAACGTGGAGGGGGGACAGCATGGGGCCAAACTGCTTGGGGCCACCACTGACCCTCTTCTGCGTCCCCAGGTGGGGTTCAAGAGGGCGATGGAGCTGGTTGGGAGCGAGTTTATGGACCGGCTTGACTACTACCACCGCGCCTGGCTGCCCGCGCGGGCACTGGTGGAGGAGGCCATCCGGCGACGCTTTGAGGTACCCACTGTGCTGCTTCAGGGGGGTCTGAAAGTTTGGGGAGGGGCATGGGGTGAGGAGAGGCCAGGTCCCCTCAGTACAAATCTCCCTGCACAGCCCAGGGTATCCCTTGTACCCCCTAGCCCTACGCGCAGCCATGCACCCCCTCCTACACCCCTACACACAGCCATGCACCCCCTCCTGTGCCCCATACACCTACACATGGCCATGCACCCCCTCCTGTGCCCCTATAGCCCTATGCATGGCCATGCACCCCCTCCTGTGCCCCTATAGCCCTATGCATGGCCTGCACCCCTTCCTGTGCCCCTATATCTTTATGCACAGCCTGCACCCCCTCCTGTGCCCCTATATCTTTATGCATGGCTGTGCACTGCCTCCTATACCCCTATACCCTTAGAAACAGCCATGCACCCCCTCCTGTGCCCCTATATCCTTATGCACGGCTGTGAATCCCATCCTGTGCCCGTGTACCCCTATGCACAGCCAAGCACACCCCCTTCTGCTCCCCTATAGCCCTACAGGTGGCTGCACACCCCCTCCTGTGCCCTATAAACGTATAGCTGTACACACCCACATCCCCACACATGGCCATGTACCCCACACCCCATATCCCTGCACGTGACCCACCTGCACCCTAATCTCCTCATGCACCCCCCCATGCACTCCCACATCACCGTGCATGATCACGCACCTTCCCATGCTCCCCCACACCCCCCTTGTGCACCCCAATATTCCCCCACATGCTCAGGCCCCCCCCAGCGCTCCCCGTGCAGGCTCGGGAGAGCACCCAGCAGCGGATGCACATGGATGGCCGGGGTGGGGGGGGAGGGAAACTGAGGCACGGGGCGGTGTGGGGGCTGCGTGGGCAGGACCCCTGTATGCCCAGCATTTTCCCCCCGCCCAGGTGGACGCGAGTGGGGCTGTGCTGGAGCTCCCGCAGGGCGGCTGCCCCTGGAAGGGGCACGTC